GGTTTATAGATCATATAGATGAAGTGTTGGACGATCCGATATTTGTACAAATAATTCAAAAATCAGCTCAAGCAATAAAAGGACGACAAGAAACCGATTCGATACCAATAATAGATGATTTGAGATATTCGTTGGAAAAGAAATACGGACCACGCAGAGAAAATTCTAGAAAAATTTGCTTAAAAGTTAAAAATTCAGAACAAATTATAAAAGAAAAAGAAGATAGATTAGAACATGCTCGTATTTTAGAAATAAATGCCCTATGACAAGGAAATATCACGTTTTCTACTTTAATAAAAATATCTGCATGTGATGATTTTTTTAATTTCACCAATTCAGCGTTATCAATCAATTCAACATCACCATCATAACTAATAATCTTTCTAGAATACACATGTCATTTGACTTAAAGAGTTCAAATAATTACAGAGATAACTTTGGCAGCTATTAAAATTAATTATGGCAACTATGCAAATCTAATTATAGCATTATAAGTATGGCAACAATCATTTATTAAGAAAGCAATTATGGCTAGCTAGAATAGCTAGTTTGGACCACATATAAATATGAGATGTTGTGGACAAGGGTGGTGCGTGGTTGGGGCATTACCTCTTTCTTATGCATGTTTTGCTTGCTTGTTTGGACCACAGGTTAAACATGAGGTGCTGTGGACAAGGGTGGTGCGTGGCTGGGGCACTACCTCTTTGCTTATTCATGTTTTGCTTGCTTGCTTGGACCACATATAAATATGAGTTGTTGTGGACAAGGGTGGTGCGTGGCTGGGGCACTGCCTCTTTGTTTATTCATGTTTTGCTTGCTTGCTTGGACCACATATAAATATGAGATGTTGTGGACAAGGGTGGTGCGTGGCTGGGGCACTGCCTCTTTTTTTTTATTTATGTTTTGCTTGCTTGCTTGTTTGGACTACATATAAATATGAGATGTTGTGGACAAGGGTGCTGCGTGGCTGGGGCACTGCCTCTTTTTTTTATTTATGTTTGCTTGCTTGCTTGTTTGGACCACATATAAATATGAGATGTTGTGGACAAGGTTGGTGCGTGGCTGGGGCACTGCCTCTTTTTTTTTATTCATGTTTTGCTTGCTTGCTTGTTTTCCTTTTCTTGAGATTTGTTTTCCCTTTTGCTGGTTTGGCAAGGTGTGCCAGCAGTGTTTTAATGGTGAGTAAAAAAAACTAACCCAATGGATCAATCATATTATTAGAGAACACAAGGCACTAAATTGGAGGTTTTGGACAAAGAACTCAATGCAGTATTAGTGTGCCTGTACTCTGTGGGATAATTTCATAAAGTTGGCTGCATTTTTGGTTATTTTTGTCTAGACAAATATCATGATCACATTATATTATGGTGTTAAGCAAACATTATTGATCCCTGAAATCTTTGGTAATACCAATTTTCATATCTGAATAATTCAAATATAATACAGTCAGGGAGGGATATTAGCATATCGGGATTTAAGTCTGCAGATCATTTCATTATATGTTACAAACGAATTTACAAGATACTTCTTGTTATATCTGTGTTACATTTTCTAAAAATAAATCAGTTTATAATAATTGAAATACTATTAAACTTGCTCTTTCATCATCTGTTAATAATCTGTAATAATCTGTTGATTTGTTCAAAGTACTTTTTACTAAAAATTAATTATTTGTTTTTTTTTTAACCTTTAGTGGATACAACAAAACCACCTGCTAATACCTACCATGCTTATTTGCTTCACTTACTCAAAAATATTTTGAGAGCAATTTGAAACCATGCGAAATTAAAAATGAGCAATATTGAGGCGGGCATCAGCAAATGCAGTGAAGGAACGTGTACAACTATTTGCTAAGTATTTTCCCGAATTATCTTTATTAAGTAATTCTTTAGAAAATCATTCAATATGTGAAAAACATTATAAATCAAATTGTTGTTACCAACAATTTTTAACAAGCTCTTTTAAATTCAAATACAAGCAAAAGACTTTGAGAAGATAATATTTTGGAAAATTCTACAAGTGATAATGAAATTAAAACAATTATAATGAGCATAAAAAGTGGGATTTATTGTGCAACGAAAAAAAGCTAACAGTAATGAAAATTTATATGTTCTTTATGATTTGATAAATAAGTTCAGTTAAAACTACTTAGTAGCTTATCTTATTACCATTTTCCTCAATTACTTCATTTAACCTTGACGGCATACTATGAATTAAATTAACAAAAAAAATTTTTCGTGGGAACTTTCTGCAGTAACTGGTTTTTTTTTTAATTAACACTTTATTGGCTTGCTTTTCAACACGTCCCTTTAAATTTTGCCACAAATTCTCAATTGGATTGAGATCTGGGCTATTTGATGGCAATCCAATATTTTTGGACAGTGTTGTGCAAGAAGTTTTTAAGTATCCCTAGCTGTATGCTTAGGGTCGTTATCTTGTTGAAAGATCCAATTGTTTCCATGGCATTGTTTGCATTATCAAATAGATTTTCAGTTAAAGAAAATTTTGGTTTATTTGAAATACATTTTATTCCAAAAAGTTTTTTCATGCACTGTATATATAAACTATTATTAAAAAATATATCTCAATTCTATTTTTTTTTTTATTTCAAAGATGTCAGAGAATCCTGAAGAAAAAATAAAATAGATAATAAAGAATATAATATTCATTGCATATTTAATAACATTAAAGGTTAGTCATGTTGTAAAATTCAATTTATACATGAGAAAATATATATTAAATACAACCTTTTAACAAAATCTTTTATATAATAGGCATATGGATATTTGATATCAATTTTTGTAGGAAAAAACCCACGTGTTTATAATCATAGCATTTGTAATTATTTTTGAAGTGCATTCTGTTCATTACCCACCTGGGACGGTGAGGGAGACTGTTTATTATGACTTTGTGTATACATTTTATATTGATAATAAAGAATTGATTTTTTAAATTTTACTTCTTTCTCTAATGATGTTGCAATTCGAAAATAAATTTTTTTACTTATTTTCATTAATATAGCATAATATTAATTGCAATATACAAATATTGTTTTCTATATTTTCCATATTTTACAACACAACCCCAAATATTACTAATAAACCGATATAAAGCTAATCAAGTTAATTATTGTGTAATGGAATAATTTGATCTCTAATGCAACTAAAAGTACTGGAGTCGGATAGGTTGGATATATATCTGGCACTCATTCATACATTTTCAAACCTCCAGTCATGAAAGAAGTGAACAACATTAACACTCTCAAACTTTCTATCATCAGGTGGCCAATGGAGGTTCTGAGTTGCACCATCCTCGCATGTAAAATGTACTATCCAAATTTCATTTGTAGATAGTTTTTCCGCATAATTGAGCATCCTTTCAAAGTGTTCATTGAGTTCTTTTTGTTACAGTTGCTAAAATCTCAAGAATGACTATTTGATGTTGAGATGTAATGATAATATCACTATAATTATGTTTGTCTTTTTCATCTATCAGATGCCACTGTCCAGTGACCTCAAGATTACATTCTTTGACAATCCAGTTCACCAAGATTCTATTTAGCTCAGTGTCATAAACACTTTCTCGAGGGACCCTCACATTACATTGATTATTCACTGTCACAAGGGCAGTTTTAAATGACCGGTTGAAAGCATTATAAATAATAGTTTTATCAAAACAATGGATTGTCTCCTTTAAAATATCAAGGGTTTTCAGAGTGCCTTCATTTGTTCGGGGAACTGGAATAGTTGGACAAGATTTGTACAATACAGTAATAACTTGTTTCTGAATCAGTGCATCTATAAAAACAGATGACATTTTAAATTCATTCTTAGTCTTCTCATTTCCCAAAGCTACCAAGAATTCTGCTAGTCTTAATTCTTCTTTGTCATAGATTGGCACAAAATCAAAAAATCCTAGGAACATAGATCGAAGTAGACCCATAGCGGGCTTAACTCTATTATTGGTATTAAGCATTTCAACCATCTTCCTGAAAGTGGAATAATCAATCATCTGATTGTCAATAGATTTAGTAACAAGTTTTGTCCATTCTACAAAGTTAACCCTTCTGTCTCTGCCAAAATGCTGTATTAAATTATCATTGATTCTTCTTCCAAAAAGGAAGACAAGACATCATATCTGTCAAATAACAGAAACACAAAAGTGAAACTTAGATTTTAATTCTACATGACTTTACAATCAACTTCATATACCGTTTGATTGTTTGTAAATATCCTCAATGATCTCTGGATCAATAGTCAATGTATAGTCTTTCTCAAACTCTTTAAATAAAAATTGTACTTGCTCTAATATGAAATTCGGGTTCAAGAATGGCTCACAAATATTAAATGGTGCTGTAGACACTTTTCCCGATTCAAGGTGTGTAATACCAAAAGTCCCGATGGTGACCACGGACCAGAAAGCGTAGTTTTCTTTTGCATTTTTAATGCCATGAAGAGTCTCTAGGCACGAGGATTTAACATCCATATTCGAATCACACAGTTTATCAAACTTATCAATAAAGAGAACAATATTATTTTTTTTCCAATTGCTTTTGTTAACTATGTCAATGAAATCAATAGCAGATTCGATATGCAAATCTTTAACAGACTCAAAAACACTGATAGATTTGAGATCATAATTTTCAGAAATATCACGAGTGAGACAAATTCCAAATGATATCCAGAACTCTTTCACGGTATCTGTTGCATTAGCCAGCTCAAGACTCGCACTGTTCCAAAGAAAAAAATAAAAAAAATAGAAGCAACCATTAAACTTCATGAAATGTGTTCCGACTTACCAAGTGCAAACACATCCTTTAAAACTCAACAGTTCCCTAAATCGTTGCACTCGTGTGGACTTTCCAGAAGCCCGAGCGTCACGTATTCACGTTTCTGAATGATCATCTCAAAAAGTGGTCCATTTCCCTCTGGATCAGTAAAGCAGGATATAGAACGTTCTTCTTTCGTAATTGTACTATTAACCGTCCATTTTCTTCTTTTTGATCTTTTAGCTGTAGAGAAAAATTCGTAAGAATGATGGAATGAAACATATAAGTATGATACTAAGTTTCTATCACACATTTCTTACTCTCTTCTTCTGTGATAGGTCTTTCTCTTATGAGCTCTAATGGATAGCAAGAAAGCATATTCAATATTATTAACAAACAAGAAGAAAAATGATTCAACAAAGAATTGAAATTTGATGATAACAATTCGCATTTCATAACAGTGAATAAACGAAATGGAATGAATGGAAAATAAATTTTTGTACATTTTTTTATGCAATTTTTTCATTACCTTTTTCATTAAATTTAACAAGTTCATTTTGTAAATGTATATAATGCTTCTCCCAGTCGTTCTCCTTCTTTATCAACCTTCCTTTTTCTTTCTCTAAATCCTCTTTCTCCTCCGTCCACGCTCTTTTTTTTTCTTCGTCATAACCATACTCTTCCCCCCACAATTTCCTTATCAACTCATCTAATCTCTCAAGTTCCCCTCCTCCTTAAATTTCTTCGACTCTTCTTCTGCATCTGTTAATTTTTCATGTACAATATTTAAATTGTTTTGTAATATCGTCGAAGGTTGCCTGCCATTTAAAAAAAAGATTTATAATTTATGCACAATTTCGACCAATGATAATAATAAATTAGTAGACATATGACTTGGAATTTATTTACGGACAAAAAAAATTTATTCAACTAATAATTGAAAAATACATAAATAATTTAAAATATAAGCTAAAGAATTGTCAGAACACTTGCATGGGAGGAAAATATTCGGACCCAAAGCCATTTGTAAGTATTACCTATCCTTTGGGCACTCTGACAAAAATTCAACCTTCACTATTACTACTGCTATTATTATCAATAATGTTATTATTGATATTTGTATCCTCTTTGCTTCATTATTCTCATCAAATTCACTCTCCACTTCTTTCTTCTTTTCTTTATTGACCCATTCCTGAATTCTTCTATCGCTTTCCTTATAGGATTTTATTTAAGTTTTTTAATAGTTGAGGCGGCAACTCATTTCTCTCCAAGTAATTCGCGAATTTCATTAACCATTTTGCTGAATGAAAAACCGGGATTCAATCCAATCTTTTTACCAAAGAATTGCTTAAAATCCTTCCATATATTCGAATATTTCCTATCATTAGTAAGTTTGTTTATTTTATTTTTGAACTGGCTTTTTCTTGGTTCAATTTTATCAATTATTTGATCAATCATTACAGAACTGATTTATATGAAGTAAGAAACCAAGGAATATATTTTGGTCGAGGGCATGTATCTGCCAACTTGCCTGTTTATGTAACCAAATATTTTGGGTGAAAATTATATCCAATATTTTTGGATGCCATATAAATTTTTTTGACTGTCTGCCACATAGGCTATATACCGAGTTAAACATAGAGTGCTTGTGCCAGTTTCTAAAAAAAATAACCCTGAAATAAGCCTATGTGTAGATGGGTGATCTAATGAAAATCTTTATTGGCTAATTCTAATTGCGAGGACCCCTAACATAAATAGAATAATTTATCAATAAATCTATTTTTTTTAAAAAAAAATGAATGTGTCTAATAATGCTTTTATTACTACTATAATAATATTAATATGATGGTGGGTTGATCACTTGACTAATCAGGTGACTTTTGACGTGATTAATTGAGTCGGGACGCAAATTAAAAATTGAGATTTTGGTCAAAGCCAAATTAATTTTGACAACATGTATTAATTAATAATAATAAAAAAAAAGAATTTGCCTACAATGATTTATTATTGTATACCTTATTTTTTAACTAATCATTTTCTTTTGGTCTTAATATTTGAATTATTATTAATTCTTTCTTTATTATTATATTAATTTTTGTTACATGGAACCAGTTTTTGTCATCCAAGCCACGAATTTTTGTAAAACAGATAGATGATTTCATTTTTTTAACAAAGCATAAAAAAAAAAGAAAATCAAGTTTCATTACTTGACTTTCTGATGTTCCTAAGAAAGCTTGAACTAAATCACAAATCAACTGTTTGCCGCTTATATAAAATAAATCTGATGCTGAATAATTTCATTGATTATATATATAGTAGCAGCATTGTCGCAAACATCATTATTTAAAGAATTTGATTTAAAATATAGAAAAAGAAATTGATTAAATTCAGAGAAAAGAGAAGTTCGTTATATGTGGTTTTACTTTGTTTGCTAGAAAAGGTCCATTATAGAATGTGTGCATATTAGATGTACAGTTTTCTATCAGGGAACACAAGATTTTTGACACTATATAGTTGGCTCGGTCTAAAGACCTCCTAATTTTTGGGCAAATTTTAAAAGTATAGAAGTCATTTTCTGCCCTATCTTTTAAAAAAATAGCTCTATTAGTTGATAGATATGTATTTAGTTTTAATATAATAAAGAGATTTTCTCAAAAAAATTATTTGTTGTAGAGTTCTATTCTTTTTTGAAACATGTACTTTACTATGCTCATGAGAAATTTAGCGCTAGGATCATTGCTAAATTTAGACTAGATTTTGATTATCGTTACTAAATTTAGACTAATACTCGACCATCATATCTAAATTTGGCAATAAGGAAAAAAAATTTTCAGCCAAAATCACGTGAAACCCTTTTTTAAAAAAATTTTATTGCATAGTGGAAATTTGAAATGTTACACTAATTTTTATATCGTGCAACATAGCTTTAAAATACACGGCAAACATTCTGGCAATAAAAAGTAAGTGATAAACTGGATTTGAATTGGATCTGGACTTGATCTCCAATTAGAGAGGTAATAGCTATATACTGGCGAAGTTTCAGAAGCAATGAGTTTTCGTGTAACAACAAACTTCCACTATGCTATTTTGAACGAATCACGAAATCGCAATTTTTTGAAATTTGAGTGCATGGCGCAGTAATAGGAGGTCTTTAGACCGAGCCAACCATATAAAAAATGATCGATCGATACAAATAAAAGAAAATATATTTTAATTTAAATTTATTATTTATTTATATCCCTTTTCGTGAAATGCATGCTGTATGTTCATTGGTAAATATTATAAATATTAAAATTATTTATTTAATTGTTGTTGCGAGGATTTTTTTTTTTTTTTTGAACATAATAATGTCACATAAAAAACTTCCAGAATTAGATATTACATTAGTTCAAAAGCCAACAACTTCATTAATAAACACCACAGCTACAATACCTTTACTTAATAGTAATAATAGTAGTAATAGTAATAATAATACAATATCAACTGCAACTTCTACTTCAGTTGCAGAAAGGTTACAATCACCAATAAGAAATTATTCTATAACAATATCACCAACAATTGATAATAACAATTCTTCTTCGCTCCATCCTCACTCATCTCCTCATCCATCCTCACTTTCTTCTAATATTGGCATTAATGATAGTAAGGGTAATAGTAAAAATAATAAAAATAATCAATTATTAAAACATCGTAAAAATATTTCAATTTCTTCGATAAGTGTAATTGATGATGTTATTGAAAATAACAATGACATATCAACGACTTCAATGTTATCATCATCGAATTTACCATTAATTAATTCACCATCATCTTCATCATCTTTCAAAAAATCACAAAAGAAGAATAATAATAAAAACTCATTAATGAAAAAATTCAAAGATTTTTTACCATTTTTAATATGGGTTTTTATAAGCTTGATAACATTATGTACAATTATAATATTTAGAAAGAAAATAATCAACATTTTAGATCATTTTTCCAATTTTTTAAAATCAATGGGGATTATTGGAGTAATTATAATATTTTTTATAATATTTCTAACAACCTTTCCACTAATACTTGGATATGGCACAATGATAACATTGACAGGATTTACATATGGATTTTTCATTGGATTTTTAATATCATATTTGGCGGCATTATTTGGAGCTGTAACAGTGTTTTGGCTCAGTAGAAGATGGTTTGGAAAATCTGTCAGAAGATTATTAAAGAAATATAAATCAATGGGAGCTGTTGTTAAAGCTGTTGAGAAAAAAGGATTTAAGGTAAAAATAAAAAGAGAATAAAAAAAGAATGTTTATGTTTATTTAAATAAACAAGTTGAATATTAATCCTTAATATCAATAATATATTTATTTATAGTTGTTATTTCTTATACGTATTGCACCATATCCATATAATGTTTTGAATGCATTATTATCAGCAACACACATATCAACGAAAACATTTACAAGCGCAACAGCACTTTCACTTTTCAAATTAATGATTCATACATGGATTGGCAGCAAAATTTCTTCATTTTCTGCTCATATGGGATATTTAACTACCAGCAGTACTAATGATTCAATTAACAATAATAATACGGCCAATAATACTGCTGACACATCTTCATCGTCATCATCATCATCAACAACATTTAGTCATCCATCATATACTTCTTCATCGATAATTAATATTATTGGAAGCTTTAAAATGATAATGATGATGATTGGTATAGCGATTGGTATAGGAGTGATGATATACATTTGGATGATGGCAAAAAAGGTGATAAAAGAGGTCGAGGAAGAACAATTGCAAATTTCAGAAAAAGTAGATGATGACGATGACGATGACGACGATGACGACGACGACGACGACGACAATGACGACGATGATTATGATTATAATGATGAAAACGAGAAGGAGAAAATGCTCCGACACAATTCTATCTGAGAAAAATGGATGAACGTATGGGATATAATCGAACAATCACAGATGAGGTTCTGATTATCTTATTTCGAGGTCTGTTAGAACTGACGTTAAAATCGAATTTATAAAGATAAAATAGAAGCTGTTTTGGAGATTATTATTGGGAGCATTCCTATGTTTATCTCGTTGCGAAGAACATTTTTAACTTGGAAATCATATCTATTTTACTTAATAAACTTTGGGGCTGTATATATATTGTGACAAAATCACATATTAACTAAATCCACCCATATGTATCAAGTTTTACTGTTCAATGACCAATTCGAATTTGAATTATGAAAAAAATCATCCTGAATAAATAGATGGCAATTTATTTTATTTTGTAATGGATCCTTTATAGAGAACACTAAATTTCTCTGAAGGGGCTTGTTACAGAAAGAATGAACTGTAATCTTAATACTTTCTCTTTCTTAATAATTATTGGTATCTGCCCCCGCCTTCACCATCAAATTGTTTCTACTATTTTAAAATAAAAAACATAAAATGAATTCTTGCTATATAAATGAACATACATAGAAAAAAAAAAGAGCCACAAATCTAAAAATTGTGTATTTCTAAATCCTTCGAATGGCGATTACCATTACCCTTAAAATTCTCTTAGAAGCCATATACCCCCATCTCTTCATGACTCCTCTATAATAGCCTAATGATTATGTGATTAGTTTTAACATAAATTGATTACGGAAGATGATGATAGATAGATATAGTATGACATTGACTGATGAAAAATCATATTGCTTTAATCTTTTTCAAAGGTTGTACAGTTGGAGATTCTCAAATAAGCAATCAAATCCGACTCAATTGCCAGGGTTGATTTTTCGGGGGTTTTTTTTATAAAGAACATAATATTTTTAACAAATGCCAAGTGATGAATTTCTGACTTGATTCGAACTTGAGATAATAATACAGACGTTAATCGAAAACAATTTATTTATGAACAAAAAACAAATTCGTGTGAACCGCTGTCTCATCCTATATTATAAAGACTTTTCTTTGTTTTTATGTGCCCCAGACGTTTTCCTACTCTGTTTTTCTATATGAGCCGATTTTTACATTATTATTAATCAGTGTAAAAGCCTATATGTATGTATTGATTATTATCTTAACCAAAAAATCAAATATTAATTAGATATTTTGACCAATGGAATTTAAAAAAAATGGATACTTGTAAAAATTACCATCCTTATGATTAACTGGCTAGAGATCGAAGGTGTGGAATTCAATCGATATCGTGGTACTAACAAAACTTGAAATTAAAGACATAGCAGAATCCTGTTCTGCCAAATTTTTGTAATAATGAATGGTTTATTTTGTTTAGAATATATAACGATTTCTTCAAAATAAATTAAATAAATAAATATACATGCAATAAAATTAATATTCTCTAAGCACTTAAATTTAAGTTCTTTAATATTTGGTCAATTCTTTCTAAAATACGAGCATGTTCTAATCTATCTTCTTTTTCTTTTATAATTTGTTCTGAATTTTTAACTTTTAAGCAAATTTTTCTAGAATTTTCTCTGCGTGGTCCGTATTTCTTTTCCAACGAATATCTCAAATCATCTATTATTGGTATCGAATCGGTTTCTTGTCGTCCTTTTATTGCTTGAGCTGATTTTTGAATTATTTGTACAAATATCGGATCGTCCAACACTTCATCTATATGATCTATAAACCATGTTATACACCATTGTTCTAAATTTTCATTATGTAAATCAATCGCTTTATCATATAACATATAAATTTCAGTCGCTGTCAATTGTGTTTGATTCGTTATTGCAGTTGAAGCAATTGACAATAATTTATTGAGAAAGAGCATATCTGCCGCAAGAAGCACATCGTATGCAAACTCGGGTGAAATATTGCATTTTTCTGTGTAAATGTATTCAAGAACAAATAAAAAAACCTCCGGTGTAAAACTATGAAGTTCAATAATAGGTGGGACTGTATCAACTTCGTTGACGTAATGTTGGGCCGATCCTTCCCTAAAGCAACTTGTAAACATTGTTTTAAAATAATCGCACCGTGTAGAAATAAATGCCCTATGACAAGGAAATATCACGTTTTCTACTTTAATAAAAATATCTGCATGTGATGATTTTTTTAATTTCACCAATTCAGCGTTATCAATCAATTCAACATCACCATCATAACTAATAATCTTTCTAGAATACATGATTTTATCCTCGAAATAAGTTTTAATTTCTTCTTGAAGTTGTTTAAATTCTTTCTTATTTGATCTTTTATATGGATCTGTTTGCATAAAATAACCACTCAAATGTGTCAAACCAACATACTGACATAAAAATAACATTCTATCAATTAATTTTGTAGATATGGGAAATATTTCTCCAGTATAAAGATATCTTAAAATCCCTTGAAAACATGTTGGATGTATGTGAGGATCTTTGATTTCTATAATATTTTTATTCTTCCAAATTGTTTCAAATTTATTTTTTAAATTAGAACTTCGAGCACAAAGAATAAATTTATGCGCAGTTAACTCCACAAATTTCTCATCATCATCATCATCGTAATGATTCATTCCGTGATGCTTTACTTCTGAAATTTTAAATGTTACGTCACTAAACGTCTCCGATGGCTTTTCGTATAAATTCAATAGAAATTTAAGATATGTTTGATTTTCATCAACTGCTTTTGTAAACTTGTAATTTAGTAAAAGACTCCTAATCTTTATTGTTAAAGATCCATAAAGACATCTAAAAAAATTTTTATCATTGTCATTATCACTGCCATTATCACTTTTCCTAATATTTGTTTATTTACCTTTCACCTTCCAATGTGCCCTTTTCATATCTAGCACCATTTCTTAACAAATATGCAACAACTTTAAAAGAAAAACAATTTAAGGAAATTGACTATTTTATTTTTCAATAATAATAATAATAATAATAATAAATAAATTTTCAATGAACAAACCTTCATAATGCCCACTTTTTTGATTTTCGATTAAAAACAAAATAACTAGTATTAGTTAATATAATTACATGTATAAAAAAAGACAAATAGATAGATACCATAAACAACTAAGATATAATGGTGAGCATTGCCATTCGTCAGTTTGATTAATTGGAACCGAAAGATCTTTTACTAAACTATATATATATATATACATTTTATAGTATTTTAATGTTTTTATTTGAATAAAATAATTTGATTATAAAACTTTATTATGGGAAAATTACTTTTTTACTTTTTCAAGATCGCCAACTCGACAAGCCATTAGCAAATCCTTAAATGGTTTAATAGAATTTTCATTTTGACCATTTTGTTGTTGTTGTTGACTAGACATTTTTTTTAAAAAGAAAATCTTATGTGACGAATGAATTATGTAATAAAAACTCTCCACATATATACAAAAAGTTTATTATGCTACACAAGTATGTGTCTCACAAAGCCTTTATTATCAATCATTATTTTTTCCAAACGCGTAATCAAACAAAAGAAGCAAAAAAATTTTATTCTTTTTTTCTTTTCTTTTTCACTTTTCGTAAAAGAAAATGAACTTTGAATCCAATAAATTTGGAGAGAAAAATAGTACTAAACGAGAAGATACTTATGCTGTGGATACAATGGATCATGCTGAAGAAAGTCCAGGGTAATTAATAAATGATTGTTGTGATCAATATAATAAATATATTCCTTATTTTTTGCAAAAAAAAATATTAATAATAAAAAATTTCGTAATCAAAGGATTTTTTGGATGCCAAAAACTACAAGTACAAAGATCAAGATGATATATAAGTTAATTCTTTGTATAAAAATTTGTTTATGAGAATTATAATTCTAATACTATCTTACAATATATAAAAAACCATCATCATCATTATTATTACTACTACTATTATTATCATTAGGACCAATAATAAAAAAAACATATAGTTATAGTGGTAAAATATTAAAAAAATCATTATCGCCATCGACAATATCGCCATCATCAACACCATCAACACCATCAACATCACCAATATTAATAGCACCATGGTCATCAAGATCATCAGAACAGCAAGAACAACCACCAAGGCCACTACGACGTCAAGTGTAGGAACAAATTACTGGATTCAGGAATCA